CACATCTGGGTTACAGAGAGCAGATGGTCAGCTAGACTGTAGTATGTTTTGGATTGGAGAACACTGCTCAAAAAAAGTGGCTCCCAGGCTGGGCACAGTAGCTCATGCCTATAATCTCAGCACTTTGGGAGGCCAAAGCAGGAGGATCACTTGAGGCCAGGAGCTTGAGGCCAGCCTGGGCAACATAGTGAGACTCTGTTTCTACCAAAATTAAAATTAAAAAAGAGTGTCTCCCAGATGCTAGTTCATGAACTCAGTTGGTAACAGAGTTTTCACTGGTCTGAGAATCAGAACAGGGAAGCTATTTTTCGTAAGTACTAAATGTATTCAGTTGTTTAAATTACAGAGTTCTCTCTCATTTTTGGTGTTAAAATATCATAAGATGTTTAGTTATAGACTATTGTTCTGTCCTTATTATAAATATATTTAGTAGGCAATAAAAAAAATAAACCAAACCTATTGATCCCCAAAATGTTTTTGGAAATTTTACTGGCTCATGACAGCAAGTGGTCTGGGAGTTACTGCTCTAAAACATGTGTGTTTGGCTTTGTGCTTATGAATACCTGTGAGCAATATTTTTATCTAGAAAGTCGTTAATTTAGTCGTTGGTTGATTTAACGTTTATTGACTCCCTCCTGAATGCCAGACACTGTGCCAAATGCTTTACATATCACATTTCATCTTCATAATTAGCACTTATGAGTTGTGTACGGTATTATTCCCCCTGTTTACAGTGAAGAAATAGAATCTCAGAGGTGACATTATCCACCCAAGGTTAGACAGCTATGATTGACATAACTGCAATTAGAACTCATGTCTCTTTGATTACAGATGCCATGTGGAATTTTAGCATAGAATCCATAAATCCATAAATTTGGGTGTCTTCTATTTTTTTTTCCTGAGTTGGAGTCTCACTCTGTTGCCCAGGCTGGAATGTAGTGCCATGCTCACAGCCACCCCAGCATCAACTTGCTGGGCTCAGACGATCCTTCCACCTCAGCCTTCCGAGTAGCCGGAACTACAGACGCATGCAACCACTCCTGGCTAATTTTTTAAAAATTTATTTATCATAGAGATGAGATCTTGCCAAATTGGCCAGGCTGGTCTCGAACCCGTGGACTCAGGCACTCCTCTCACCTCAGCCTCCCAAAGTGCTGGGATTATAGGCTTGAGCCACATACCCAGTCAGAGGGGCTTTAAAAAAAAATCTTAAGGCTGGGTGTGGTGGCTCAAGTCTATAATCCCAGCACTTTGGGAGACTGAGGCTAGAGGATTGCTCAGGGTTTCAAGACCAGCCTGGGCAACTTGGTGAGACCTTGTCTCTACAATAAATCAAAAAATTAGCCAGGCATGGTAGCATGTACCTGTAGTTCCAGCT